CGTCCCCCCCCCCAAAAAAAAAGAAGAAAAAAGGAGAAGAAAGTCACCATCTAAGAGATGTAGCAAAGCCATGGCTGTGAAGACCATTTTCTTGCCAGTGGGTTGAATAAATTAAACTATAACCTGGAATCTCGTGCCTTTTTTAACTCCTGGAGGTATCTAATTTGGCAGACTCCAAATCTAGATCATATCAGAAAAGTGAACTGTGCTTCAAAAGATACCTAATTCTAGGAATGAAAATTCCCAGACATTAAGAACAGAAAAACACCAGAGGGTGCCATTGAGCCGGAGAAGAAACGCGGAACGCATGAATCTGTGGATGTGCATTTGAGCCTCACAAACTCGACGGCGACTAAGAAGCACTGGAGTAAGGCAAAAGAAACCAGAAGCTTGAGGGGTTAGAAAGGTCGCTGCCCATCTCAGCTTCTCGGGAGTCTCCGTCCTCTGAATGCCCGGATTCTAGCGCTGCCATCTGGCCCGTCTGCATGGCACCTAGCAGCCATGTGCCTTGGTGAGGCGTCTCTCCCAGAGTGGACGGGGTGGGAGTCTGGCTCTTCCTCAGCTCTCAGCCTGGGGCCTGGCATGGAGCAGGGGCTCGGTACAGGTCTGCTAACCAGGGCATCAGAATTCACCCTCCTTAGACGACTCACTGTCCTTCAGAAGCCAGTCTGCATCCTGGGGAGCTCACTCCAGAACTCCACAGCGCCTGCTAGCCCTTGTAACGGTAGGCCTACAGGGGGCAGCAGGGAGCCACGGATTAACTGAGCAGCATCGCCGGAAGGATAGTGTCTTGGAAGTGATGACTTTTAAGCAGGAGCTGGAACCATTGTCCTATAAGACTCTGCCCAAATGGGGTGGCCGGGGATGTGCAGAAATAATGGGGGAGTTGGGTAGCAGAGAGGCAAAGGAGGATCGCTTCCTGCCACAGCTCACACCTGGATCTAATGTGGCAGTAGGAAACCTGTCCCCATCCTAACCTGAGCACTGAGATGCAGGATCTTGCTAAGGGAAGGAGGAGGAAAAAAGGGAGAAGGGACCCAGTCAAGGTCACTGTCTCGTGTTTGGAATGAGTAGGACCATGGACTTCATAATGCTGGGATTGTTCTTTCCTACCGGGGTGGAGCAGGGGGACTGAGGGCCTGTAGTCCATCTTTTTATTTCCCAGGAGGTGGTGTCTTCTGTCCAGGGCCATGGACTAAGGAGGAAGAAGAACTGGAGCCAGAAGCCAGGTGTCCTGACTCTTGGTTCATTGCTCTCTTACTTCAGATGTCTTGCCCCTGCTTATAAAACCCAGAGCTTGACTTCTTCGTGAACGCTGATGACAAAAGTTGAGTGATTCTCGGGCCGAAGCAGGAACACTCAACTGCTGCCTGGGTCCAGTCTACCCAGGTAAACTCTGCCCTTCCTTTTGGAAAAGAAGAATGGCCAGGAGTGATCCAGGAGGATGACAGGTCTGTCTGAAGGCAGCGCTGCCTGACTGGGTTGTAGCCCTTAGTCTTCTATGATGGTCAGCTGTGATACAAAATTGCTCACAATCAGGCAGCCACAGCTTCCCACCAGGGGGCGCTCCCGGCTCGGGCTGATCCTTTCTCAGGGGATTCGGAAAGTGCAGCTCTTCCCACTCCACTCTACCCCTCCTGTCTGGGACCTTCCGAGGTGTCCAGAGCAGTGGAGCGCAGACTCTCAGGCAGGAGACATGGGGATCACTCTCCATACCCTGTGACTCACCTGACTGGTAAATTCTGGTTGACCTCTGACTGTGTGCCAGCTTTGGGGACAGACCCTACCCCTAGGTAGCTCATGAAACCACCAGGCCAAGGTGCTGTCTGGGGCACGTGAGAGGGTGCAGGGCACAGGAGGGAGCTGAGGTCCGGAGTGACTCACCTGACGATGGTGTTGGAGCCTCCTTTGTGGTAGTAGAGAGAGTTGTTGTAAACAGCATGGCCACAGCCGTGGAAATAATAGGGGAGGTGGATAAACGTGTGGCTGCCATTCAGAAGCGAGGGCTGGTCTTTAAATTCCTTCACCATGATGCCTGCAGGAGGGAAGCCAGGGAAAAGCTGTTGCCAGCAATCCAGCCATCACAGCTTGGTGATGAGTGGGAGGGAGGAAATTAAAGGAGGGACATTGAAAGCAAGACATTCCCTGAGGTCTGTTGTCCACTTTGAAGAGCCTCAGATGCCCAAACTCAAAGCCCAGTTCTCCGTGTGGATTCTGGAAATGTCTTTCAAATGGAGTAGCCACAGAATTGTCTTTGCTCCTCCCGGGAGAACTATGCATCAGCCCTCCCTGCCCTACTGTGTGGTATTTATAAAATTTTCTCTCAGAGCAGCGTAGGCCTGGACCAGGAACAGCAAATACCCAGCACTTGTGCAGCCATCTCTTGCTCGGTCCTACCTTTCCTGCACCCCACGAGAGCCATGGCAAATGTACAACACTGCTTCCATTTGAAGCACAGGATCTTTCTAAGCCGGTATTTGGGCAGTTACTACAGCTGACCACTCAGCCTTGTGTAAATGGCTAAGCTATTTCTTCTCAGCTAGTGTTCCAGCCCAGTGAGCATGGCAGATCCCTCCTGGAACGAGACCACTGTGTTTCTGACCACATCCCTTTGGGACAGTATGACTAGGGTTGTGCTCAGATGCAGTGTACTGCAAGAGAGCACTTCACCTACTTCTGTGGGTTCTCTGCCCAACAGATGTCTGAGAGACATGGCCCAAAGACCTCTCCCAAAGCGTTTGCCTTTGACATTTCTTCCACATCATGGTTTGGGGGTTTATCAGGCCTGCAGTCATAATGCCCTTTGTTTTCTTTTGGGTATTTTACTAAAAATTGGATAGGCTACCTTGGGGAGGGCCAAATCATGTCCCTGTGGCCTGAACGGCAAGGCTTGCAACCAGCACATTCAAAGGAGGAAAGTATTCTGCCCCGTCCCTTGTGCTGTCTACAATCAACAGCAACGTGCTACACCAGTAAGCAGGGTTTCAGATGAACAGCAATAGAAGAAACCTGAAGGCAGGCAGCTGATGAGAAACACCATTTCGATCCAGATACACAGATACGGAGCATTTGCCAGGTGCGAGTACCTGAAAAGTGTTCAGTCACCCAAATGCGGGCGTCGCTCTTGTTAGCAGACTCCCTTATCCAAGTCCCGAACGTCTCCGTCACTTTCAGTATTTGTGTTGGGTTCCCAATGGACGTGATCATGGATTCTGCCCAAAGACGAGAAAGGAAAGTGACTCGCCTGCCAATGATGACTTTAAAACATCCCGTTTGTGTATCTCAAAGCAAGATGTTTTGTTTCTGTACCTGCTTGTGGGGAGTGGTTTTCACTGACTTTCTCATTGGCTTTTCCAGCCAGGGTATCGTCATTGGGGACCGCACATGTCTCACCTGGAACAGAGCAGTCATCGGGGTGAGTACTGTGGGCACAGGGAGGTCGGTCTGACTGTATAACTGCCCCCCAGCTCATTGCAGGCTCCACCTTCTAAGCATCCCTGACAACAGGTCCACGAGGTTTCCTGCCGGATTTTAAGCAGCCCCAAGCCATAGACTTCCAAATGCTTCCCCCGCTTGGTGAGTTTTTAGCAGGCTCCCCATGACCACAGTTGCCGAAATAATACAATCCTGAGGATGTCCATAAAGGGAAAAACGTGGCCTGAGCCAGCCCATTCAAGCTCTCAGAAAAAGGGCTTGGTGACACCTCCCCGACCGCTCTGGCTGGAAGTAGCGCTGGCATGGGTTGTCTTGTTCTGGAAGGATTCTTCCCTTGTAGTCTGTGGACTGGAGCCACGGTCTGGAGCAAATCAGGCTTTCTGGGAAAGGCCAGCCGCACTCCCCTGGACAGATCCCGAGGGGTGCGAATCCCTGGTTCCTAGACAGAAAGGGGAGCCTCTCCGTTACCACTAGGGAAATAAGGGGGCCAGATACTACACAGCCCCTGATCCTTTCTAGCTGGATCAGCCTGTGTTCCCTGAGGTTCTCCTGTTACCCAAGGAGATTAATCTTGGGGATCTGTTACATCCCCCCTCACCCCTCCACCCACACATGCATTCTTGCCTCTGGTTTCATCTGGAGTTTCTGCTTAGGAAACTGAAAGGCATTAAGGACATAGAACTGGAGGAGAGAGGGCCACATTCAGAAGCAAATGCCTGGCAATCAAGGACTCATTTCTGGAAGTCAGTGGAAGCTAGTGGCCTCTCATTTAACGCAGTTTTCATAACTCTGGGTCCAACCCCTGCCAACCAGGCTCCTGGTGGACAGGCTGCTACTCCAGGCACCAAGTGTCACTGGCTGGCAACTGATGGAGCCTTTGGGAAATCAGAATTCTGAAAAGCTCAGTTCAGACCCTCTTTCTCTCCAGCTAAGGTCCCTGCTCAGCCCGTTCTCCGCAGGAGAATAAAGGCCGAGGCTAATGGCTGCGGTGGCGCTGAATGCAGAGCGAGAGCAGCTCTGACTGCTGGGCAGAATCATAATCAGGCTCCATTCACTGGGGGAGACGGGAGGTGACATCTTTGAAAGCACGATTCGCCCACGCTGACAGCTGAGTGCATGCCCCTCAGGCGTCTTCCAGAAAGAACAGAACTGAGGCCCGTGTAGGAACATCACTGCAGGTCTGAGGGCAGCTCCCATCAGCTTCCTCCTCTGTCTGTCACTAAAGCGGTGGCATCAAGTTGTGCCTCCTTGTGGTTTAAATTAGGCCCTTCCTCTGTGGGGAAGAAGTTCTACACACCCTAAAAGTATTTTCCATTAATATGACCCTTGATTTCTAATTAGCTTTCAACCCTGTGGCCACCCTTGCCACAAACTGGCTGAAGAACAACTGCTCTTGGTTGGCGTAATGACTATGTCACTGGACTCCCATGTAGTTGACTGCTGTTCAAATCCCAGACCTGGAGGCTTAAACTCACACTGGGAGCGTGTGCGTGCATGCCCAAGATCCTGAGAGGAGAATAGAGGAGAAGGGATTGCAGTGAGGTCATCCCCCTGGGGGGTGATTTCTCGCTTTCTGTCTCTGTCTCTCTGTCTTTCTGGAGAGCACACGTGCCCTATAGCAAAAACCTGTCCAAAAAAAAAAAAAGAACAACTGCCCTTGACCTGCCAGAGATCAGGTATTCGTTGTCCTTGGTTGACTTGTGTCAATCTCAAAGTGAGACTTCCCGTCTCTGAAAGGAAGATGCTCTGAGAGCTGGGGCCTTACAGTCGGGCGACCTGGGTTCTGCCCTTTCGTAGTTGCGTGACTTTGGGCAAGTAACGAAGCTCCTTATGATATAAGTTCTGTATCTGTGAGTTAGAGGCAATAACGGCTCCAAAGGCAGAGGACTCTTGTGAGAATTAGGTGGCTCTAACACAGCCTGACACAGCAACACTCAGAAATCAGTGGAGGTGATGGTGGCCCCATAGTTGCCATTCGTAGACAGCTGACCCGTCTGCACTCCCCAGCATTTCCTGAGCCTCGACCAAGCCCTTCCCTCTCCAAAGAGTGTGCTAGTCAATAGTTAATGTACTCCTTCCACACTGCTCCAAGGTAAAGGGGGTGGAGGGGCTGTCTAGTGATAAATGAAGAGAGATGGATGAGGTGAGGGGTGGGAGGTTCAATTTGATTCATTTTTTAAAAAAATCTTTTCTAACATCAAGAGAACATATGCACTTGCCAGAGAGGCACAGAGAGAGGGTGAGGGAGAATGCACCCCGCTAATGGGGCTTGGTCATGCTATCCTGCCTTCTCCATTTCTCCATCTTGTTGGAATTTTGGGCATGCACTTGTACATACCCGATGTGTTTTTCCAAGTCACTGGGGCCAGGATTTGAACCCTAATCAATCGTGTGGGATATGACTCCCTTAACACTAGGCTATGGGGCTGCCCCAATTCTAAGCCTGTCCCCAGTCCTCAGCCCTGGGGCAGACCATTAGACCTCCCATGAGTATGTTGCTAGTGGGAACTCTCATTTTGAACAAAATCTCCTTGTTCTGTTTTTAAAAATCTGGTGACAAAGCCTTGGGGTCAGCCCGAGTCCGGGATGAGTAGTGGATGAGATGGGCCCCTGGCATGGAGTGGTGACCTGAGCACTGGCCGTTGAATATGTTTGGCTGCCGAGGGCCTTTGGATCTTCTGCCTCCAGGGGGCCCAGGAGGTCCTGGAGGGCCTGGGGGACCTGGTGGGCCAGGTGGGCCTTGGTCACCTTTGGCACCTGGAAAAAGAAAGAAAAGTAGAGCAGGAAGGAGAAGAAAGTGAGATTGAGAGCTATTATATAAACAAAGATTGGGTTTCACAGGAGGGGGAAGGAGAATTGGGCAGCTCTAGGGAGTCTCGCTCAGCTCCTCCTGCCCTGAGGTAATTTATGCTAGCATTCATCTATGCTGAGTCAAGGAGCAGCCCATAGTAGGTGTTGGAGTTGCACCAAGAGTTTGACAGATCACCCCGTCATTCTTCCACATCACTTCATCGGGTGGCAACAGTGTCCTCTCAGGAAACTGAGTCTTAGAGAAGTTAAGAGATTTGCCCAAGGCTACACCTGAAGCAGGTTGGAGCTCACCTTCAGGTGTGACCACTCTCAGTGGATCTCAACCCAGAGTGTTTATCAGAATCTCCTAAGGAGCTTTAATAAAATGTAATGCATATTTTCCTCAGATAACATAAGATAATCTGATCTTATATTTTCAAATGTATTTATGTACAACATGTGCGGCACAGTATGTCTTGGTCAATTGCATGCTCTATAAACAATGGGGAGCCCATTAGCCGATAGATTATAGCAGATCATAGCATATAGCCTAGGCTATATAACATGTCAGTTTGCGTAAGCACATTCTACAATGTTTGTACAACGAGATTATCTGGCACATATCTCATGCTGTCAAGCAACACATGACTATATATAAAACCCTGTCAAAATCCTTCTTAAATTCAATGAATTTTGCAAAGGAAAATCCTGTTTATCAATTTGATCTTTCATTGTTCTTAGCACACTGCCTGGCAAATAGTAGGTAAACAATTTTGAATAGATGGTTGGATGATTGGATGGTCGACTGGTTTAGGGTCATTATTCTAAATATCTCTTATCATCCTAGCTTCTTTATAAGTTTTTTTCTTTTTAAAATTTTAATTACTTCATTTCTTCCATGAGTAGGACAGGAGAGAAATACAGCACCCCCTCCGCAACTTGGTCTTGACACCATGATCCACCCCTATCCTCCAGCTTGGATTATGGGCAAGCACATACCTGGTGTACTCAGGGAGGTCTCTGGACTTGAACTGGTAACTTTCCTATGTTGGATTGCCTTGCAAAGCACCACACTGTACAACTGTGCTACCATCTGGCCCCTATGGTCTTTGCTTCTTGAGGACAGATATGATGTCTTACTCATTTCCCTATTTATATTTGTAGTTACTAACAAAGTCCCTGATTTATAAATGCTATTCTATGGCATTCAATAAATGTTTATTGAGCACATTAATAGAATACTTATGATTTTATGATATAGGAGGTCTCCAAAGTACTATACTTAATAAAATTCCTCGGCCTCCACCTCTTCCATGACAGGAAATCATCACCTACTCTTTCCACCATGTGATTGTCTTTGTGATTTTTGTCTTTGTGGCTGCTCCTTCCCTCCTCCTCCTACAAACACCAACCATCTATTTTTACCCTGGGCTAGAAAATCCACTGTTGTATCTTGCCCCAATTCTATGGGAATAAGGCCCCGAGAATGGCTCTACCTCAACTGTGAAGAAAATGCTTTTGATACCGACTCCTGAGAAGTAAAAATACATTTTCTTTGTATCAACTTAAATATAATATTTACAGGTAAAGAAGAGATGTGCCCTAGAGAACTGGGTAATTTATGCACTACAATGAGCTGATACTCT